CTATGGTGACTTCATAAAAAATAAATATGCCATAAAATATTAACATTGTACACTGTTCAGCATGCCAATCCACTTCCGGTAACTGGATTTTTCACAAAACATTCCACCACAATTTTGAATGGGCACTTCTCCTTCAAAGTGGTCTATCTACATGCAGATGCAATGTTCTGCTACATCAGAACCCAGGTTTTGAATCACAATCTACCAGATCACCCAGTACAGTACAATGCCAGGTGGCATCTTTGTGGTGTCCAGACCCCCAATAGGTCATGAACTCTCAGCCCAATATGCCAGTTTTGACATGTGCCTGCTTCTCAGAAACCATGCTGTCTCTGGTTCCACCTGAGAAATTCACACTCCAAGAGTGTAAGAAAATGTACTATAGGGGTTCATTGCACTATTACTTGACTCAACAGCCACTATCAGATTTTTATGGACAGCTATGATACTATCTCCATCTTCCCCTTATGCCTCTGCCTATCTTAAGTTGCTGTCTCAATGTCATATGTGGAAGTTCCCTTGAGCATATCTCCATCACAGGTGAACTGTTTGCTATATCCAGCATTTCTTCTTGTACTGGCATCAATCAACCCAGGAAAAAAAAAAGGTCATATTTACAAAGTCATCCTTCCAGCTCTTAATATCCTAAACAGCTCTGGCCTTTTGGTATGTAGCCTTTGATCTTCATTTTGTGCTTCTCTCACTCTAGTGTGAAGATAATTGATAAGTCACTCTACAATGTATCCCATCCAATATTGAAATTTGAGACATCACTGAAGATACGGTTACCTTTTATCCCCTTGATCTGACTGTCCTTGAGTAAGTGCCTTTGAATCTACTGTATATGATTTACCCTCAAAAACAGGGTTTGTCAGGACAAAGAACCAGGACCTTCATTAGTTTCTGTGAACTACGACCCTCAGTAGGATTCAATTGGATTCCAAAGCAAAATAAAGTCAGTAACCATAATGGCAACAATTAAAAATGAGTATACTTGTCTCTCGGTACATTTGTTAGATTTGGGCAGAGGCTCTGCACTGTCCTCGGTGCATGAACCAAGAGGACACAATCAACTATTTTACTGGATATACTGTTTCCGAGACAAGCTCTGGACTCATTGGGCCTCGCTTATTCTGGATTGTGATTCCAATTAACCTAGATGGCACAGCCTGTATCTCTGCATGAGATCTTGTATTCTTAAGTATACCTTTGCTTTCTTGCAGTTTGCCACACTGCTGAGATGAATTAACTGCAAGTGCTTGATGGTGGATTGAGTTTATATTACTGTATATAGGTTACTCTATCACAAACCTTATCTTTAATCAACAAATATGTATGTACAGTACCAGTTTAACAATATTTACCAACAGAATAGTGCTATAAGCTATTGCAATATTTATGCATGGCATCATGAATGACCAAAAGGTTTACAGTCAGTACTTTATGATCATAACTACCCTGCTTCCCACTTTCATGAGATGAACAGGCATATGCAACAGAATAGGAAAAGATTCAAATGATACTGTACCTTAACAAAACACCCCTACATATAATAATTTATTTTGTCAGTGATAGGATGCCTGTGAATATGTGTATACTTTAGGCTACTATGAAGGGCTAACCCAGGTTGAGCTACTGATATTCTCCAAGATGTATAACCCCAATACAGTTACTCTAGTAATTACTAAATATTAGACGAAAGAAAATGTGCCCAATCATTACTGTTCCACCTGGGAATTGAACTCAGACCGTGTAAACTGTGTACTGGTATATAATGAGAGTATCCATTATCTACAGTGTATGCATAAAAAATACAGTAAACCTCAATTTGTTTCAAAATTTAATTGAAATATGATAATTATAAGAAGCAGGAAATGTTTACAGTAACACACAAAGCCATCAAGATAAAAATGTTGATACTGTTACAAGTGACACACACAGTAGTTTCTGTTCTACAGCCTCAAACTGTTAACTGATGTACTGTACCGTACTTCATTATGTTTCTATCACTTGCAAGGTTTTAATGAAAATCCTGACATGCACACCTAATGAGCACTTCTTTATACCAAGTAAATTCTCACACAATATTTCCCAGACCTGTAGTACACACTTGCATTACTTATGTACAAAGTACTGATAATGTATTAATTAATAGTGCATATAATATTAGGATCACTTCAGATATCCTAGTACTGTACTATACTGTATCTTGTCTCGTAATGTGAGAGGAACTAAAATAGTACAGAGGAACCTCAATATTCAAACCACTTCAAACTTGAACAATTTGGAACTCAAATGCTTTGTTCATGCCTGGTAGTCAACTGTTTGCTCAACACTCAAACATAAACACCCGTAACAGAAGAGTCAATAGCATCATTCAGTACACAACCCCACTAAACTTCTGTAAACTTTCTCATGATTTCCTTGATACTTTTTTATATTTAGTGTAAATAAGTCGCTATGGTTCCTAAGAAAGTGATAAGACCCAAACGTAAAGAAAATTAGTTAGAACCACGAGAGTGATGAAAAAGAACTCGTAGCAAAATATGAAAGTGGTATCCATGCGTCTGTTCTTGCTACAGAGTCTTGTATGCCTGAATCTAGCTATCTAATAAAAGAAATGTGCAAAATTTGGGGGAAGTGTAAAGTTTTCTTGAAAAATATCACCTTGACAATACTGTACTGTGGCAACATGTATTATAAACCTGTTGTATAACAATGCTATGGCTCACTTTAGAAACATTTTAAAATGCAGGCAAAAACTTATATCATTGGACAGGTTTCTTTTAAGAAAAGCATCCAGCGAGTCTCAAGAGGAAAATGGAAAAAGACAAAGTTAAAGAACCCCAGAAATACAATTACTGATGATTTTATGGTAAGGGATTCCCCTGCCAAATAATAACATCTCTCCTCTTCCTCACCATCTTCCACTTACACCAACTCTCATGCACTATGGAGAAATGTCTGACAGACCACTGGAACGTTATCAAACACAGTGCAGAGTTATAAACCCAATACGATTTCAACTAAGATTTAACTGAGCAGAAGTTGTTAAACACATGGGACAATCTTACTGAAGCGAACACGAGTCATAAATACTCATACTCCGTTACACGCTGGAAGAGAGAGATATATGCACACAAATCACAAAAGCATGATGCATCGTATGAACAAATCCACAAGGGCCGTGACGAGGATTCGAACCTACGTCAGAGCATCCCAGACGCTGCCTTAATCGACTGAGCTACGACATGGATAAGAATTGCAACCAGAAATCCATGTCATCCATGTCATAGCTCAGTCGATTAAAGCAGCATCTGGGATGCTCTCAAACGTAGGTTCGAATCCTCGTTACGGCCCTTGTGGATTTGTTCACTCATACTCCACCTAAGTAAAACAACATAACATAAGAACGAAGGTAACTGCAGAAGGCCTATTGACCCATACGAGGCAGCTCCTATCCCAATCATATACATGTCCAACCCACGTTTAAAACAATCGAGGGACCCCACCTGCACCACGTTATGCGGTAATTGGTTCCACAAATCATCAACCCTGTTACCGAACCAGTATCTACTCAAGTCTTTCCCAAATCTAAACCCATCCAATCTATACCCATTGTCTTGTGTAATATGTAACACTTATAGGCCAGCCAGGGACTTAGGGCCCCATGCAGGAATATCCCTGCAAAAAAACAAAAACAAAAAAAACACTCTTACGTACAGATAGTGAGAATAAATTTCCATTTAGTTTATCCAATTATTGTGGTATGGAACATTAATCCAGACCATGAATAATTAAAAAATTGTACAATACTCAAACAGATTGGAATTCAAACAACCTTCTGGAACCAATTATGTAACTTTGAGAACCGAGGTTCCGCTGTACTGTATTAGGTTAGGTTACGATAGGTAAAATATAGAACCTGACGAATGCAAAAGCTGGTAGTGGAATCACTCGCTGATCAAATGTGGTGGTTAGCGATGTACGTCAAATTCAAGAGTTAGTCTTAATTTTTATTTTAGTGTCTGCTTAGTATTTGACAACATGAGAATGAAGTCAGTAAAAGTCAGCTCCTATTTATATACACCCAAAGTCATTTATATATATGTAACCTAAGTATGAAACAACCAAGTGATCCTATGTCTATTATGCTACTCCATAATTCAAATTCAAATGTTTATTCAGATAAGAGTACATACATAGAAGATGAGTTACAAACAATGCTGGATTTATACATGGAACTAGTACATACAATGCTTAAAGCCACTCATACGCACAGTGTTTCAGGCAAATGTGTTCCATAAATCTGTTATATAAATCAACAACCATGTTTCCAAACCAGTGTTTAGCAAGGTCTTTCATAAATCTAAATTTATGGTTATTATCCTGTATTAAATTGCCCCGTGGCATGGGCCTGTATCCAAACAGTATCACTGAGCCCAATGGCAGGTACTTTGACAATCTCTAGGTGAACCTACCATCAAAATATGCATTCTATGGTATTTATAGTATAATCAAAACAAGACCTGCAATAGGATAAAACAATTGGTTTCCAAAGTAAATAAATGTGCCCAAGAGGATGAAGAGAGGGTTTGGGGTAGAGAGTAGAAGAGTAACATGATAAACTCTCACATGACGTCAAGTGCCTCAGCTGTCAAAACACCCACCTCCCCTGGCCTCCGCCCCTTCTACACACACCCTCCTCACGCACCCAGCCTCATCCACAGGCAGAATAACTGCTATGTTGGCTTGGAGTTGGGTAGATGTAGTCCAGAATGATGTCGTCACGTAACAAGTGGGTTATAAGGGAAATATACATAACATGGGGGGAGAGCAGCAGACGACGCTGGAGACCTTCCCACATCCGCCCAACACACTCCTTCTCCTCACACCTCACCACACTCCACTCCCTTATAGTTGGAGTCTCCATGAACCCCTCACGCACTCTGTCACGCAGTCATGAGCAAATTATAGGAGAAATGACCAGAAATACTCACTTTTTCCGACCAATTCCTTGAGAGCCATTTTGACAGCTGTAGTGGTAGTTCCTGTGTCTGCCGCTAGATGGTGTCCAATCGATACGTGATGGCGGGAGGTTTAACTGTGGCAAAGCTCGCGGCTCCTCAGGCTTCTTTATTGTTTTAGATGCTTAAACTTCTGCGGTTATTAGCACCGTATGGTCCCTTCTTCTATGGCCAGTCTTTACTAACTCATTAGGGTATTTTGTTAGCTGGTAAACAACAAAAAACTTAATTAAATCCAGTGTTTATGTGTAATTTTGCTTGTAACTAATTGTCTGGTCTCGCATAACACGATTTTATGGGACCACAGAGCTGAAGCCCTTCCCCCGCAAGTACAAGTACAATATGGCGAATACCCTACAATATTGATACAGTATACAAAATGGTACCCATTGTCGGGTACAGGATGCTTACGTATATGCCACAATTGACTGGCTAAGGAACAAAGCCACAAGGGCCGTGACGAGGGTTCGAACCTACGTCCGAGAGGATCACAGACGCTGCCTTAATCGACTGACCTACGACATGGAAAGCAATTGCAACCGGGAAATCAACTTGAACTACCACGGATCCTGCAGCCTCCAAGACAAACCAGATTAGCCCTTCAAAATACTGAACAAGTTGGAGGATATAAATCCAGATCACTCCTTTAAAATCGCCCATGAACAAACACAAAGGGCAACAGCTTCAAGCTCAACAAGCTACTTTGTAAAAGAGAGAACAGGAGATACTTTTTCACTCAAAGGGCTAAAACCCAAGGAAACGCCTAACCGCCGAAGTTGTAAATGCCAAGACAGTTAAAGTCAAGATGGAAAAAAGTCCGCAAGAACAATGAGAGGGCCTTTAAACCACCGGCTTTCTGTCTCCGTAGACGCCACTAGGCAGATAATGGCCATCAGGTAAATTCCAGTAATAATCTATAAATAAAGGTGGTATATACCCAGCTCTACCCTTATAACCCCGGACTACTAACACATTTACCCTTATTTTACCTTTGTGTGTTGCGATACACGATTGACAACTACTTCAAGCTCGACGATTAAACAAACTTCTATAAAACTCCAATTTGGGTAGCAAACCAACTGTTCAAATTAAAATTCAAATGTTTATTTAGGTATGAGTATGTTGGATGAGTAAGCCCAACATACATTCTCATGTGTACTATATGGATGGTTCCAAGGGGTTGTCATAGCCAGGGAGTGGTAATGGGGGACGAGCTCCCATGACCTATAAAATGCTCCTATACGGCATGCGTCTCTAATAGCCTCTGACAACCAAGTCCAACTCCTGGCCTGCACGGGTGGCTTAGTTTTTAAGTCCGGCGGAACTGCTTTTACCGACAGGAGAAGGGGCGAGGGCGTGCCTCTGGCGCCTTAAAACCAGCTGCTCCGGGTAGATGGGACTCGATAGCCTGGGAAGGCAGCCCATCTAGGGGAAGGAAAACCCTGATTTTAAACCTCCGCTGCCTTGCGGCCATACCCCATTCTTGGGAAAGGCTTCAGGAGTCAACTTCGAGGAAAAATCTGGAGTTGGAGCCCCTAAGGCAGTTCGTTGTTGATGTCAACCTCGTTCTGGCAGCTCCTGCGACGTTGCTGGAATATCTAGCAAATCCATCCTCCATATCTACCTACCCTGGCTTTGCGCCCTGTCAGGGCACAACTCCATAGTCTTAGACTGAAGGATGCCTACTACTATATGGATACATAATTCCAAGCTTTCAGCATGTTGTCTTCTGCACTCAGCATCTACAGGCCTCAGAGCTCTTCATACTTCATACATTATATTCTGCACTATACGTCTACAAAGCTCAAATCTCTTCTTGCATTCCATTGTGCACTCTACATTTACGGGATTCAAAGCTGTAAATACATTTTGACATGTGCTCTACAGAACTCAAAGCTCTACATGCATTTTGATGTGCAATATACAGGACTGAAAACTATCCATGCATTTAGTGTGCAGTTTGCGTTTACAGAGCTCAAAGCTCTATACATTACATGGTGCACTTTTCAGCTACTGGACCCAAAGATTTTCATGCATTCTACTGTGCCCTTTACATCTACAGTGTAAACCAATGCCTCAAGTGCATTGTATTGTGTACATTGCATATATATGACCCAACGCTCTCCGTGCATTCTATTGCTAACATTTCATATAAATAGGAATCAATACTCTCCATGCACAATGAATTATGCATTCTATTATGCACTTTGCATCTTCAGGACTCGAAATTGTTATTCTAATTCTGACTAGAACAATATCACAAAAACAGCTCTAACACGCAGGGGTAAAATACAAGATGTAAAATCCTCGACATGCGTCGTGTATGTCGATATTATTCCTGCAAGACACTAAAAGAAGTCAAAAGTCACAAAAATTACCCAACGGGACATTAAAAGAAGCCAAAAGACACGAAAAAAGTCAACGGGATACTAAAACATTTGGTGTAAAACATTCAGGTAAAACATTTACCTGAATAAACATTTAAATTTGAATTTGAAAGCAAGCCAAAAAACACTTTAAGAAGGTCATGGGGCACTAAAAAGGTTGCTTGTGGCCAGACAGTCTCCTGCAGGTGCTGTGACAAGCGTCAAGTTGCTCATGGCATTAATGTGGTACATGAGCCATGTACCACATGTTATAACAGTACAGTTCGCTGACATTATTTAAATAAACAATGAGAAACAAAATAACGACGTTTATACCACGGTGACCAATAAGGAAAACAATTACAGTGCTGAAAAATGAATCCATTTCCATATCGACCAATGCGCCATAATGTCGACGTGGGTGTGGTCAGGCGTTATATATCAAACATGCTGCGCACACTGCTCCATAAAGAACATTTTTACACAGAACATTAATTAACCTGTGAACTAGGTCACCATATGCGAGGATGCGTCGGACGAGAGGACACCACAAGGACACATTTAAAGCTATCGCTGTGGTGAAACACAGCTGTCTTCCTCTACTTTATCTCCAGCAAGTGACAAGACAAGATTCACCGACGAGGATTACGTCACAAGTGGAAATGACGTTGAACTTGCTCGCCAAAGAATGGGGAAAAATGCCTAGATTAATATTGATCAAGGGCTGAGGATACGTCGCAGACGGGGGCCCCGTCTGCGACGTGACTCAGTGACCGGGGCCCCGGGTCCGCTCCACAGGTGGACCCACGCACCATTCTCTCTCTCTCAGAAATTAATGTAAATGTTATACAATTGAATCCTTTATGTAAGATATGTTTTCCCCCGAATTTTGTATGAATCGCGCAATGTTAGACAATATATGATAAGTATTTGAGATGACCTAGTATGTGAAAGATATGTTTCTTAGTACAGTCAAGAGAAGAGGTGCTGCATGAACATCAGAGGCCCACGGTTGTTCAATATTCTCTCAGCAAGTATGAGAAATATTGCCGGAACTAAAGTGCAAGTCTTCAAGATAAAACTGAACAGTTTTCCTAAAGAAGTGCCGGACCAACCAGACTGTGGTGGATACGTGGGCCTGTGGGCCGCTTCAAGCAACAGCCTGTTGGACCAAACTCTCACAAGTCGAGCCAGGCCCCGAGCCAGGCTTAGGGAGTAGAACTCCCAAAACCCCATCCAGGTACAATTCACATCCTGTAGAACCGTATAAAGTCATATTATATAATATATATATTATATAATATATATATATATATATATTATTATATATAATATATATATATATTATATATATATATAATATATATATATAATGAGAGGGGGGAGACATTATGGTGTGGTTTGTTACACCATTTTGGATTGTATCATAACACTGCCGTTAGACGGAACAACTATACTGCAAGAATGATACCCATAACAACAATAATACAATCACAACACTATTAATAATATCATGTGCAAGAGAGCAACGTTCAGGCGAGGCCTGGATCAAGGAAGGCGCCAGCATGGTTGTTGAGTCACGGCTCCTGCTGCACCCTTCTGGAAACCCTGGCTTCGATCCCCCAGTCCACTTCTGGGGGTTCCCAGCCACGCACAATCCTCTTACCCTCCCTTCGTGAAATATTCAATCGCTGAAGAATACAATACAAAAACGCGTTTTAACAGCCTATTAATGCTCGTTTTCTAAATTGAAATCTAGCCTAGTCGTGCTGGTTTTAAATTTTAAACTCATTTTATAGAAGAGTTCTGACCCTGTCATAGTCACATTGTTAGTCTAGTGTTGCCACAATTAGTCAGGCTCTAGTAGGCTAGTAGTTGACCTTGTGTTGCTATAACTAGTTGAGATAGTTTCATTTAGAAGTTATAGCTAATGTTATTGATATCCATGTTATAACTGTTCAAACTAAATGACTTAACAGCCATTGCTACTCACCCTTATAGTTGAGCTTGTACTGTAAAACTAGTCTCATGCTACTAGTTTATCTAGTACCGTATTATAAAGCTGGTCACACTGCTGGTTGATCCAAAACTATAATTCGTCACACTAACCTTGTACGGTACTGGCATAACTAGTCACAATACTAACTAGAAGTAACAACTACTTACGGTGCTAACTAGTCCAGTACTGCTAAACCTAGTCAAGTCGCTACTTTTTCTAGTACTGCATAACACGTTGCGGTATTAATTTAGTTCTGTACTAATAAGTCACACCACTAGTCAACTAGTCACACTGATGGTATTGTGCAGACGATGAGTCACAATAACGTGGCTGATGATATGATAACCAAACCATACATCAGAAGGTGAAGAGACGACGACGTTTCGGTCCACACCACTTGATAATGGTCAGGATGGACCGAAACGTCGTCGTTTCTTCATCTTCTGATGTGTGGTATTGATGGTGCATCATGATGTACCATCAATCAGTACATCATGATGGTATTGTACTGTCATAACTAGTCGCACTGCTAGTTGGTCTAGTATTGTCACCAGTCAGTTGCTAGTTGGTCCAGTATTGTCACCAGTCAGTTGCTAGTTGGTCCAGTATTGTCACCAGTCAGCTGCTAGTTGGTCCAGTATTGTCACCAGTCAGCTGCTAGTTGGTCCAGTATTGTCACCAGTCAGTTGCTAGTTGGTCCAGTATTGTCACCAGTCAGTTGCTAGTTGGTCCAGTATTGTCACCAGTCAGTTGCTAGTTGGTCCAGTATTGTTGGATATCGCACAACTAGTTGTTCTAATACTACAGTAACTAGCCAAGCAACTACTTAGTATAGTACTATGGAAGTGCCAAATTAAGAGAGTGACAAGTTGTTACAGTACTAATCTAACTAGAAGCATGACGACTTATCTAACTACTAGACTAGTGCTTCGGTAGTCACACTACTAGACTAGTACTTTAGCAGTCACGCTACTAGACTAGTACTTTAGCAGTCACGCTACTAGACTAGTACTTTAGCAGTCACGCTACTAGACTAGTACTTTAGCAGTCACGCTACTAGACTAGTACTTTAGCAGTCACGCTACTAGACTAGTACTTTAGCAGTCACGCTACTAGACTAGTACTTTAGCAGTCACGCTACTAGACTAGTACTTTAGCAGTCACGCTACTTGACTAGTACTTCAGTAGTCACACTACTAGACTAGTACTTCAGCAGTCACACTACTAGACTAGTACTTCAGCAGTCACACTACTAGACTAGTACTTCAGCAGTCACACTACTAGACTAGTACTTCAGCAGTCACACTACTAGACTAGTACTTCAGCAGTCACACTACTAGACTAGTACTTCAGCAGTCACACTACTAGACTAGTACTTCAGCAGTCACACTACTAGACTAGTACTTCAGCAGTCACACTACTAGACTAGTACTTCAGCAGTCACGCTACTTGACTAGTACTTCAGTAGTCACACTACTAGACTAGTACTTCAGCAGTCACACTACTAGACTAGTACTTCAGCAGTCACACTACTAGACTAGTACTTCAGCAGTCACACTACTAGACTAGTACTTCAGCAGTCACACTACTAGACTAGCACTTCAGCAGTCACACTACTAGACTAGTACTTCAGCAGTCACACTACTAGACTAGTACTTCAGCAGTCACACTACTAGACTAGTACTTCAGTAGTCACACTACTAGACTAGTACTTCAGTAGTCACACTACTAGACTAGTACTTCAGTAGTCACACTACTAGACTAGTACTTCAGTAGTCACACTACTAGACTAGTACTTCAGTAGTCACACTACGAGAGGCTGTAGAACATAACCAGTAGCCCTGTACTATAAAGGGGGGTGTAAGCGAGGTTTTGTGAAGGTTCAAACATTCCAGTCGTACATGACCTCAACATTGGTGTTCCTGCTACGTCCAGGGAATGAGTGCTAGCTCATGCATGATCCATTTAGCATTAAACAGTATGTGGTCTACGTTTTCTGATAGGCCTACTTACACCGTTAAAAGGCTTATTGATATAAACTCTCATCACAATATTAAGATATCTTCCTGTGAACCAAAGTTTACATCCTTACTCGCAAATTTACTGACTAAGCTAATGCTGAACACAGACGCAGTTCACAAAATTCTTCGGTGATAAGTTCGGCAGGTAAAGATTATTGTGGAAGCGGAGTGAGGAGGAAAAGCGCGGGTGGTGTATGTACCTCACTGGAGGGCGTCGCGCTGGGGACTGCCATCAGTGCCGACGCTCACACCCCCACTAAGGCCAACTCCCAACTGTTGCCAGACCAACCCAGAGATATCACTTCTCACATTATGCCTGTAACTGTGTACAGTGCACAATAAGTTATTCTGCTGCGATAAAAATATAAAATAAATAAAGTACGTCTCTTGTAGTAATAGAGAGCGTTTGCAAGACTGTTCATGTGAGCTCTAAATATTATAATTCCACTACTGGCGATCTGGTAACATTGCATTTTCCCACCCACATCACGACCCGTTCGCGCCAGTGCTCTTGGTGCTGATTGGCTGCGGATACTGTGTAAGTGACGTCATAATTCATTTTGTCGGGGACAGCCAGCCTGAGAATATATATATACAAAACATACGCTAGGCTGATATTGAGGTTCCCCCCCCCTTCCCCCTCAAGGGGAAAATCTTACAAATTAGTAGGCTACTAGAAAATATACTTATTTACGTTAATGCGATCAATGATATGCCCATAGCTATGCAAAGTATATACTGCGTAGTAGGCCTACACAAATCCAAATAACATATACTTATGAGGGATTCTGGTTGTATCCATTTATATATATATATATATATATATATATATATATATATATATATATATATATATATATATATATATATATATATATATATATATATATATATATATATATATATATATATATATATATATATACATACATATATATATATATATATATATATATATATATATATATATATATATATATATATATATATATATATATATATATATATATATATATATATATATATATATATATATATATATATATATATATATATATATATATATATATATATATATATATATATATATATACAGGAGATAATGCTTGTAATAATTAATTCATTCATTGTATCGGGGACAGGAAGCCAGTTTATACATACAGTAGATATTAGGCTTATATCGAGGTCGCTTTCCCACCACAGTCGAACTACTGACCCTTTCCCAAGATGCAGCCCCACAACAAGCTGACTAACTCCTATGCTTTAAACCTCTCCAATAGATTCGTGTGCAATGCATGATGGACAAATGAACACTGTAACTACACCATAAACGTAAATAGCTTAGCTTGAAGAACATTAGCGAACCCATTACATGACCTTTCCCTCACCATTCACACGATGGGTATAGAGTCCAAACTCAATTGACTAAACTAAAATTATCTGTTCTCCGTGAAAGCACTTAGAAAGACCTAAGCACGGGTCTTAGTTCACTTTCGATAGACAATAGGTGTCTAAGCCATTGGAGTAAGACGATAAAACACAAAGAAATAAAAGCTCATTAGGCTATATGTGGCGGATGATCCTTAACAATAAGCTTTCTATTACCAGAAATGCCAAAAATTACTAACAATCCTGCGAGATAGGGACTTTCAGTATCATTGCTACCGTATTCCCTCTCGTGCTCTTGATGATATCCTCAAAGCATCCTTGAAGTTTGCAAGTGCAGACTATTGATCACATGGCTGATCCGTGAGACTTAACCATCCTGCGTGATGAGGATTTTTTTTTAGCATCAAGTAGCTAGCTTTTAATACACTATGTACCCCTTTCATATAGTCTAGGGTAGCTACATAAATATATATGTACCTAAATGTGTTTATAAAAAAATACCAAAAAGCCATAGTGGCTTTATGATAGGTGTACACATATACAGGCATCTATGTTGTGGTAACCTCGTTACGGGGCAGCACTCAGGTCATTATTAGCAAAACATTACATTTTCAAATAAATTATGTCTCAGACTCGTTTTAGCCACTGCTTCAGACGTAATAACAGAAATATACAGAATAAAGACCACATTTACTAGATGATACTCGTCTCTATATCTAATATTTTACAAGACCTCATATCCTAACACCAGCGGCGATATATTTGTGCAATATACAAGTATTGTAATATAATAAAAGATCACACGTGCTATATATAGCAGCCGTGACGTGGGCCCCAGCAAGGGAAAAGCCTGTCAACGTGATTTTTGACGTCATAGTGGGGAGACTCCCAGACAGCCAATCAGCGCTCACAACACCGGCTTTATGCACACAATAGATGTCCTACTGATATTAATTCTAAGATTCCGTACACACCTATAATATGTTATTCTATTATTTTATTAAGCAGAATTAAAAGTGTCTTTAAATGCAACTTGAACAGTGATAAGCAATCGTAGAGTTGTTGCGTGAGTTGAGGAAAACGGAAGCATGACGTTCAGTTAGTGATTTCCCGCCAACCAGCCAGAAGCTGGCGCCTTTGTCTAGTGCAGATTGTGGAGGATGGCGTACCGCTCACCCAAACACGCCCACACACGCCCCTCCTCCCCCACACACGCTCCTGTAGCGCCCCACCTCCTGTGTTAAATCTTGATCCTATCCCCATGAACGTCCCACTCCATCTTTCACACTTCCACTACTAAACGCTTCCACACTATAACATACACCCACGTGTCCCCACCCGCCCACAAACGGCTAACATGACATATGCCTTTTCCAGTCCACGATCCCGGTCACCTTCCCACGTGTCCTTACTGACCTGTACACATGCCACAACCTTCCGGCTGCACGGTAGGGACGAACTCTACACTGTCAGCCTACTACCACCACCACCACCACCACCAGCCCAGACACAATGCCAGCCCACACACCACCACCAGTCCACACACCACCACCTGCCCACACACCATCACCAGCCCACACACCACCACCAGTCCACACACCACCACCAGCCCATACACCACCACCAGCCACACACCACCACCAGCCCACACACCACCACCAGCCACACACCACCACCAGCCCACACACCACCACCAGCCCACACACCACCACCAGCCCACACACCACCACCAGCCCACACACCACCACCAGCCCACACACCACCACCACCCCATACACCACCACCAGCCCACACACCACCACCAGCCCACACACCACCACCAGCCCACACACCACCCCATACACCACCACCAGCCCACACACCACCAACAGCCCACACACCACCACCAGCCCACACACCACCACCAGCCCACACACCACCACCAGCCCACACACCACCACCAGCCCACACACCATCCCTTTCTTTGCTTTACCAATTGTCCTTTCCCCTCTCTCCCGTCGGCTTGGTCCCTAATTTTTTTTTCCTCTTGGAAAATTTATTTTAAGCATTGAAACAATATGGGCCTCCTATTCCCTCTTTCCCTCAACCTCACCCCTCTTCCCCTTCTCTCAAAAAATACAATATTAGGTAGCAATAAAACTACAGTTTGGGGTCAAGGAAATATTTTTGTATGATCGCGAAAAACTCTTAGGGCATTACAACCAATATTTCATACTTGACCACACTTCTATGAAAATAGGATGGGTGTCGATAAATACTAATAAATACTTTTCTTAAACGATTTGACTAGGGCTATCTCGATCCACCTGTCCGTCCCATACCCTAGACCATTCCCCCTGCAAATTTGGGTTAGGCTAAACCCAAGCAACTGACCTCCAACTTTGAAAGGACATTTTTCTCCTTCTAGTATATTTATTTATATTCACTATATTAGCTTCTAAGGTGCGTATTTGTTTCAACGGTACCTATTTACTTTCTAAGGTACTTATTTTCTTTATAATTAAGTTTACGAAAATGTGCCCAAACGTATCGCCCTGTCTGGGAATAAAACAAAGTTGCAATTACTTGTGAGTTGACTGTCAATATTTCAACCAACAAACTCAGACTAAACATAAAAAAGACCTACTACATTTTAATTGGTAGTAAATTATCAGATCAAATTCAACTTTAGATAGACAATGTTAACACTAGCAATAAAAATGAGGGAAAGTTACTTGGCCTATACATAGACAAGAGACTAAACTGCAACACGCACATACAACACATGGCCAAAAAAGTCTCAAAAACGGTCGGTATGTTGTTGTTTTAGATTCAGCTACTCGGAACAAAAAAATCCAAGTAGCACGGGCTATGGTGAGCCCGTAGCGATCGGTATATTTTCTAAAATCAGATATTATGTTCCCCACTCTGCTCTCCTCTCATTATATTACGCGCTAATCTATTCCAATCTTACATACGCTATTTGTGCATGGGGTTCAACCACTGCAAATTACCTCAAGCCTATCATCACTAGCAAAAAATCTAATATCAGAACTATAACAAACTCTGTCTTCAGACAACACACAGCCCCTCTGTTAAGTCCCTTAACATGCTAAACATACACTCACTCCACACATTCTTGTGTACTATTTACACGTACAAAACCCTAATCTTGATCTGAAAATTTTCCATGAGCACCACACCAGAAATAAATATATCTTTCATATCCCCAGAGTCAAACTAAATCTGTATAAACACTCCACCAAATAAAATGACCCAGTCTGTGGAGCTTACTCCCTGATGAATTAAAAAATTGTCCAACCTTTGCCCTGTTAAAAAGTAAAACCTAAAAGTACCTAATTTCATCCTCATAGTTTCCTACCTTGTGCTTCAAACTCACACTGTATCTTGTACCACCCACTTTCCTAATATTTGTGCTTAAAACATATATTTCACTAGTGTAATCTCCTCTGTCAATTTATATTATAGTTAATTGATGATATAAAACCTTGCTATATTGTACCTTTTACCTGATATGTTGGATTAAGGACCTGCCCGAAACACTATGCGTGTTAGTGGCTTTTGCAAGAATGTAAAAATACCAATCTGTAACCTATCCACCGCTGCCCACTGGCTAGGGGTCGGGTGCAGGACAAACATATCAATTGTGACACTAGCTCTCCACATATGTCAGTTGCTTAATTTAAAAACTGTACTTGTGGTCGAACCCATTTATGATGTGACGACTTATACTGAATTTTGTAACTAGCTCATCAAGATTGTAACTTGCTTAGCTAAATGAATTGTGGGGTTCAGTCCCTGAGCCCATTATGTGCCTCTGTAACCCTTTCCACTACCGCCCACAAGATGAGTATAGGGTGCATAATAAATGAACTAAAGTAACTAACTTATGTAATATCACCAACCTATTGTACCGTCTTGTGAATAAATTATTACTATTATTATACTGTACTATAGTCACTGTGCTTTATATGATATAGGTCCTGTAGCACAGTAATCTACGTTATCGACTCATAATCGATCGCGGGACCCAGATATAATCCTTGGGCAGGAAAGACATGGCTGGGCATATTTTCTGTCACCTGATGCCTTTGTTCACCTAGTAGTAAACAGGTACCCGGGAATTAGACAACTGTTTTGGGTTGCATCCTGGAGAAGGTCAGTAGTTGGTCAAGCCTAATTACAGGATGTCTGTCCTAAACAACGGAATTATTGTTATCGCATACATTAATCGATTAATTTTCCAAGGAAACAAATATAATAAATATATGTTTACGATGCATTATCATTCTATAACGTGATTTTTGGATAGGTTCAGAGCAATATTACCACGAAACATGTTAATATATTCCAAAATAACAATAGATACAGACATATCGACAATAAATTTATTGTAACACGCCTATATTATTTGAAAATGTGACCAAAGGAGGTGAATCAGAGGCATAGACACCTTGATTCACTGCCATGTAGAATCAAATCTTCTTAATGTTTTTGGCGACACCAGCACCAGAGCCTACGTCAGGGGCATCAGAGTGGCTCACCGACCCTCACTTGTCTCCCTAGCCGCCTCCACGTAGCACCCTCTTGTCAGTGCCAGCTGTCAAACCAAAATACTAGCAATGGGTGAGTTTTGCTGTCCCTTTCCGTGAGATTTAATGGTGATTCTCCCAGGTGTCAGGACGTGGATATGGGAAAAGATATGTAGTGAAATGGAATTGGTGGGTATTGTGTAGGTGGCGTGGGGGACAAAGGTCAAGAAAGTGGGGTAATGGTTCACCATAAACAGTTGTGGGCTTCGTGGCTGCCAACGTGGACTACAGTCCATGGTAATGTGAGTAGATTGTCTGGATTCATGTCTTGTCATGGCATCAATTCAGCCTATGGACGAGTGCTACTCTGCCATCCACGCTAAGTAATATTGGGTCATGTAATATATAACCACATGGAGAACCTCGCCCTTACCTCAAGTAGGAATATCTCCACAATTCAGTAAAGCAGTTTTGACCACAAGAAAGTTAGTCATGTATTTTTATACCCAGAAAATGCCTGTAGTGGAAAAATTCGGAGAAGCACTTTACTGTAAGAGTTCTTGCATTTAGTCACTTGGACAGCCTTAGGTGTCCTACGGGTAGGTGGATTTGTACTCTTGGTGGTGTGCAGGATGTGTTGAAGTGCAGCTCTAGGGGTTCAGCTAGGTGTCGAGAGCCTTCAAAACTCGATACCATCTAAAGGCCTGCGAGTCCTTTGAATGCATCGGCGGCAAATAATTGTACTACAGTCAGGGATTGTGTATCTTTTTCTTCTGTTATCCTCTAAGAGGGGATGCCAAAATACTATGCTTTTTTTATAGAAAACTGGGCTAATCACAGGCTTCCATATGCTAGTTGAGCATGATTCTTGCAAACAGCAAATTCCAGGATGTTCCCTCTACACATATTTACTCTATATGTGGAGCTGGACATAAAATCATTCATGTGCTTGGGAGTACAGTGCCAGAGAGTGCAGCACTAGCTTCACCAAATATGCAACTCTGTTCAATGATTACAAAATATTAATTTATTTAAATTATTGTACAGTATAGTATACAATTATTTTCTAGGAAATATTTATCGTAATAACTATGGTTTCTACTTTTTGTAAATTACTTTATATATGGTAAGATTGTGATTATTTATTTATTTATATATATACAAGAAGGTACATTGGGATTGTGAGGATAGTAATTACATTCTTGTAATTTTTGTAAATCTTGTCTTGTAAATCTCTCATTCTTGTACATTATCATGCATTGGCAGTTAAAACTATTTAAGTAGCATAAATTTCCATTTTTGGTTGTGTCAAAACTATTTGACCAGTATTATATACCATTTATATTAAGTGTTAGTATAGTATGTCTCCAGTACTAAATATCCAGTATTACAAAGAAGAGAGCTGCCATGCATGTAAAGGAACCATCACCTAACCAAAGGGCTGTATGACAACAGTGAAGCCAGTGTATTGTATCCAACAGCAGTGTCACCAAAGTGTGTTGGCATGTTCTGTACAACCAAAGGTTCAGCTGTGTTGAGACCAACACGATGCCAATGGCATTGAATGAACATGATTAAATATTGTCCCGATACTCGTTACAGGAACACTGTTTAGATTAATCTTAAGATATCTGAGGAGCTCTGAGGCTATATGGGAACCTACATGGCTAGAGAGTAAGTAATGTCTTCAACCCCTGCAGCTAAGAAAATAAGAATAAAGGCCTATTTCAGAGGGCCTTTTGGCCTATACGAGGCAGCTTCTATTTATAACCACCCAATCTCGCTCGTATACATCATCAACCCACACTGAGGGGAAGAGAGAGGCCCTCCTGACTTATGATTGCCCTGACTTATGATAATTTCGAGTTACGATATAAATTTGATCGGAGAATGCGACACGACTTACGATAGTGTCGTCGACTAACGATGTGTGTTGATACACGTTCAGGTCGACCGAGCACATGGTTCCCGGTCGCGTGGGCTGACCTGCCTCAGTTTACTAGAGCTGCCCGCTTATTGATGATCACGCTTATAAGAAATTCTATTTTTTTGTGTGATTTTTTGCTTTTTGAACAAAAAACTGATTATATATCATGCCATGGGTCCCAAGAAAGTCAGTGGTAAGGTTCAACATATGAAAACATATGTGAGGATGACCATAGAGGCAGTACAGAATATCCCTTCCTCAAAAATTAAGAAAATGTGTGCAGCATGGGAAGAACTGTAAACTTTTGCTGAAACGACTTGCCAAAATCAAGCTGCAGTAGGCCGTTGCCTCAACCTTTTCAATGACAGTGTGATGCATCACTACAGACAAATGTTAAAACGAAGGGAAAAAACAAGTGTCGCTAGACAAATTTTTAGTAAGACAAACTAGCAGTGAACCACAATCAGGTCCTAGTGGTATGCAGGCAAAACTTAGGAGTGCGTGTACCCCAGAGAAATTATCACTGCCTGATGTTATAATGGAAGGGGACTACCCTTCCAAACAGTAACACCTCTCCTCCTCCCCCCTCCTCACCATCTTCCATATGCCAACAGGAGTCATCAGTAAAGGTAAGTAATAATTTGTACATACTTTTGTAATGAAGATTTCGGTGAATTAGGTATAAAATTTACTTTGAAGGTAATTTTGGGGGGTCAGGAATGGATTAATTCATTTCCCTTTTTTCTTATGGGAAAAATTGTTTCGACTAACAATATTTCAACTTAAGATACATCTCTGGGAATGGATTACCATAGTAAATCGAGGCCCCACTGTACTTGGTTCAACGTGAGTTAAAATGGCATCCTGTACTAATTCTCTTGTTATTTAGATCAACTGATGACAAATCTTCTGTTGAATGAGTTGGAGATGTTTAAAATAAAATGATTTTGGTTGAAGATTTCATAATCTTCATTCTGGTCTAATGTATATTATATTTGTTTAATTTTCTCTTTCTTGTGGGGTGGCATCTTATGATAGAATTCTCTCCACACATTTAAAATGTTTTCACGAGTTGAAGAATAATGAAGGGACATTTACAATGTTTGCAAAAGAACGTTACTCATATTTGGCTACGTCAAATTATCGAAGTATTATGTTTGCTTGCACTGAAAATTGGAAATGTGTGAAGAAACTCGGGACTGACTCTGCAAGTGTATAAAGTACTAGTGAAAAAGTATATAAAATTCTTTTCAAAATGGAAATGCCTGCATTGGGAAAGCCTTGCCAACTATGTCCACAAGGAAACCTTAATTCCCAACAGATGCACGAGATATATTTGGTGGCAAAATTTGGTGGTTGTACACAGTACTGTATCATTTGCTATGGCCATGCAGTGAATGAGTGGCATAAGTTAATTATGGAGGATGCACAGAGGCAACATTGTCTAGCTGAGGTGTCAACATTTGTAGTTGTGGCTAATCTGAAAAAATGTAATATGTTTAAACCAAAATTTTAAGTAAACGCTTAAAACAGTAATGCTTTTATCAAGTTGGATAAAGATTAAGGTTTCAAATAGTTTTGCATGTCTTACAGTTTTAGATTAAAATGTTTTGCATTGCTTTTAAACAAATTTACTTAGTCTTTTGCAAGAACATTTGTGGTTATGAAATTAGATATACTGTATGTTCAAGGTCTAGCTTCTATATTTTCTTATTGTAAATATAGGGTATTACAATTTCCAGTGGTTATGGCACAGTCCTGTCTTGGAGTCCATTTCAGCCATATGATGCTCTTTGTGAATAAGTATTGTACTTCTTATTGTCTAAAATATTTTTTCAGTAACTTGGAAGCTGTGGCATTTTTTGTTTCTACACATTGATGCCTTCACAAAATCTTTCCTGTCTGCTGCTTTTAATAAGTGTGTTTGTTAAATGGCAATTGTCATGTTTTAGTTGCTGATCTATTTACTTAAAGATTTTCTTTTCTAGGGGCTCTCCTCAGCTACTTTCGGGGTCTCATTGGCTCCCGAGAGATGCGTATATTGATTCTCGGGTTGGATGGTGCAGGTAAAACGACAATCCTGTACCGGTTACAAGTAGGCGAGGTAGTGACGACCATTCCCACCATAGGTTTCAATGTAGAACAAGTCACTTATAAAAATCTCAGGTTCCAAGTGTGGGATTTGGGTGGCCAAACCAGTATCAGGTGAGATACAGTACTTTCTGTTAAATTATTTACCCAGCATAGGTTTCCTCTGTAGTCTGTTGCCTTTGAATTTTCTAAAGTCCTTTAGCCATATTTGCTATGTTTGTATTTGATGCACCCATCCCACCCTTGTCAGTGTCTTTATGGTACTTTTTAAAGTATAACTTGTTTACTTTTATACAAGCACTCATTAGAACTGCAGAACATACAATAAATGTCTTTAGTTCTTTTGTGCTCTGCATATAGAATTCATAAAATTAAGTTAGTCAGTATTCAGTTACTACCTCCTCTTGACACTATTGGTGAATACTGTACAAAATAATCACAGATTACATCACATAACTACCCTATTAATAAATGGAAAACTGAAATAAAATAAATTTAATTCAGTTGCAATGTGACTGCAATATTTTCACAAGACTGTCAAAATTTTTCTACTCCTCCTTCTTGTATCCACATTCTGACCATCAAATACTATTGTATTTTTGTTTTTTTGTTTTGTTACTGTAAAACCAGCATTGAATGTAATGAAACGCCATTTTTTGGGCGAGACTAGGAGGCTCCCCGGAGCTAACTGGGCTGCTATAAATATATTAGACTCTGGCATCAGTCAACTCGCCTGGAGTTCTAGGCATACTAGGGACCATGAGCCAGAACCTGACCCCCTCAGAGAGGCACGAGGATCGGTGGCCAATAGAAACCCCCGTGTGATTGAAAGCATTGTCTGCGCCATCAACCGGGTCAGGCACCCAGAAAGGCAAGTGCCGCAAAACAAATCCCTATTCTGGTGAAAATATTGCTACTGGAAGCCGAACTAGTGAACAGAACTCCCCAAATGAAAACTAGCATATCACCATGCCGCCGTCTGCACAACCCTGCCCCTCCCTCCCAGGGAGGGGGAAGGGGGAGCCTCAGACCCCCTGCACTGGGTGTCCGCACCCCAGTTCTGAGGCTGGATGTCAAAACACGCGAAAAACCACTGACCAGAGGAAGGGAGGGATACCTCGGAGCCCCTTCGGTTCCCCAGAGCCCCTTCGGTTCCCCAGAGCTACTTGCCCACAGACGGAACAAGTGGGACTTACCCGGGAGGCAGTCGGACCATGCTTACCAATGTGAAGTTGAGACAACTGGCTGCAGCCGCTGACCCAATGCAACATGGGCCCAACTAGGCCCAGGAACATTGACAAAGTAGCGAGCAGCCAGGACCCTGCTCGACCCCCAAAAACCTCGTGCCGTGTCAGCCCAAGATACGTTACCGAAGACGGTAGCCAGCGCAGCAAACTTACGAACGTCATGGGCACGAGGTTAGACCACAGGCTGGCTGGACCGAATAACCCTGGGGATGACTTGAGAGACCTGAACCCAGGAACAGGGAAGAAGGAAAACCAAGTCAACCCAAAGCACTTCCCCGGCCACCGAGGCTGTGGCAGGCAGGTAACGTCAGAGAGCCGCAACCGGACACATGTGATGCACCCTCGGCCTAATCACTAAGCATTCACAACCTAAGGACCTCTCCAGAAAGCAGCAGTCTCCTTCTTCACCAGAAGAGGAGGAGACGGCTGCAAACGAACAAACCTACCACCACTACCAGAAGAGCAGAAACCTCTGTGCTGGAGGAGAGCATGAAGCTCCCGACCTAACTCCCAGAGGCAAATGCCAACAAAAGAGCCTTTGCCATACTTGAAGGGGCCACCATAAACTGAGAAGAGAGAAAGGAGAGCACCCGGTCCAACAACCAGGACAGCTCAGGCGGTGCATGAGCAGGCCGGAAGTGAAACAATGCACGAGATAGTTTGCGGAATGGTGCAGAAGTAACATCAACGGCTTTGCCAATGCCGCACGATAAGATGACAGTATTCGGCATAAGATGATGGTCCTGGAACAACCACGAAAGGAAGGACAAGACAACCCTGTCAGAGACAGAAGTAAATCTATGAAGGGATAAGAAATAATGAAAGGACTGCCAGGAAACTTCATACTGCCAACAAGACGAAGCATGCAGGTGGGACACCAGCAACAAAGCCACCTGCTCACCTTAAAAGTGGTGATAGACTAGTCAAAGACTAGACTCGAAGACTCGAGGAGAAGAGCGAACCAGCCACGTAACGGACCGGACTGATCTGCTGAGAGGCGAAGCCATGGGAAGACCCTTGGGTTTGGACACTGAACATGCAGCACCTAAAACCAAGGCTGGGCCGGCCACCAAGGGGCCAAGAGAACTACTCTTCCTTGGTAAGTCTCCAAGAAAGCTCCAGTGAGCTAGGACCTGGAGTAATGGCAGAACCACGGGAAAGAGGTACAGGTAACCCCATCTCGACCAGTCATGCCTGAAGGCATCAACCCCAATGGCCTCGCTGTCGGGGGAAGGGCGCGACATATACTAGGAGACGCCTCGACCACGTCGATGCGAAGAGGTCCACCTCTGGGAGCTCGTACATCCGGCAGAGCCAATTGAACGAGTCAGCGTCGACTGTCCATTCTGTGGGCAGGGAATGAACCAAGACAGGCTGTCCGCCAGGACGTTGGACACCCCCTGAACATGAATGGCCAATCCCAGAGAACTCGGCAGACACGTCACCGGAAGCAACCAGCCCCAAAGATCCAAGGACTGCATTGAACCCCCGCGGTTCAAGCAATGAACCACCAGGAAGCAGTCCAAATGGAGCCTGGTTATTGATCCCCGTGTGACCCGAACCCTCCAAAGTGACATCAACACCACTGTGAACTCTAGCACCGTGCTGTGTGTCCTACAGAAGGATGGACCCTTCCCCCATCCCTGGCTGGCCTGGTGAGCACTGGTCACAAAGCCCCAGCCAAGAGACGATGCGTCCGTGAACACATCGAGTGAGGGCTCGGGTAGGCGTCAAGGCACTGAACTCTAAAAGATCCGAAGAGGAAGCGGGTGATGCAGCAGCCAACGCAAGGCCCCCAGAGGCCAAACCCAGTGATCGCAAAAGAGGTGGAAGGGATGTCCCCGAAGGAACCAGAACAGCTGACGAAGCCAAACCCGACCCAACTAACGACGCGACTAACTCCCCAAGTCCGGGTCCCTATAACCAAAATGGGGGCAGTTTCGGGGCATCTGGGGTAGCAACCAACCTAGCACGCTGCAGCAACCTAAAACAAGCATACAATGCTGAAGCTGCCTGCACCCGAATATCAAGATCAGTACATCGATGTTGAACAAGATTGATGTACTGATCGATCTTGTTCGATCGATCGATGGGTGAACTGGAGAACAAGCAAGCAACACCACTCTCAAAACTCCGGGTCGAAAGTGTCACCGAGCCAACAGGCAGCATGACTGAAGCACAACCGGTGATTGTCACCTTGAGAAAAGGGAACAGAGCAACCTTCAAACTTGCACGAAGGAAGAGGGGACCCAGGGGTCGCATCCATTGGACTAAAGAGCCCCCGCAGGGTTTTCCAGGACCCTCTCATATCTCGCTAAGGGAAGCCCAGGAGGGTACTGCTAACCAGTGCCCAAGATTACCAAGCAAACTGCTAAAGCTTAAGCCCCGGGATGTGTACACTCACGGGGGCCTAGTGGAGGACCATGGAGATATAATAGTGGGACTAAAACCAAGGGGCAGACCCCCACCAGGCAAGAAAACAGATAACAAAAGAAAACCCCCACAAGAGGACAACGCGACCAGGCGGAACAGAGCTTGCCGCTATGCAGCTAGTTGTCATCTCTCACCGTACCCTGCTCCCTACCCAGAGACAAACAATGGTGCATAAAACACCACGGTTGACTCCAAGGGCAGTCACTCACCGAGCAGCAAAAGACCTTGTGGAGGTAGACCCCAAGGTGACTTGTGGAAGTTCCCAGGGGCAGTACTTGCAGGGCACCTAGGGAAGAGGACCCTAGGCACATGCAGCCCGAGTACTTGTGTAATTGCTCCTGGCTCGCGCACCACTTAGTAGACAGGATCACACCATAAGGAACAGAACTGGAAAACACAGGACCCAGAGGTGCACAACCTTGCCAGTTCACGTCAGCCACAGAACTCTGGTGGGGATAGCCAGTGCATGGGGGGGTTGCGCGGACGGCGGCACGGTGACGTCATACTCATTTGCTCGTTTTCATTTAGGGAGTTCTGTCCACTAATTCGGCTTTAAGTTGCAATAGTTTCATCAGAAAGGGGGTTTGTTTTGGGGCACTTATGTTTCTGGGTGCCTGACCCAGTCGATGGCAGACATAGAATGCTTTCAACCACGTAGGGGTTTCTATAGGCCATTGCTCCTCAGGCCTCTCTGAGGGGGAAATGTTCAGGCTCGTCCCTGGTAGACCTAGAACTCAATGTGCATTGACTGATGCCAGTCTAATATATTCATATCATTCTGGGGCTCCACCCAGAATTTTATTTTTATTTAATTTGATCTGGAAATTAAATGAAGAATGTTAATATTTGTTCATGTAATTCATGGAAATACAGTACAGTATAGCACTTTATTTACATGGGTGTGATGGGATAATGACTACGTCTGTAATTTATTTCCTCCTACAGCTGGACATCTTGAAAAAATAAATAAGATAGAAATTTAGGAAGGATTTTTCTAGGTAAAAATGCCACTTGATTAGAGGAAAGGATTATATAACATACTCTTCCCCACAACCTTGAGGCTCTTTATTCTCGTAACCCAACAACCATCCTTTACCCAGTACAGTACTGTACTCTATTCGTACTAATTGTGGCTTCTGGTAGTGTAACAAGAACATAAAATAAGTTGTGAATCTAACCAACAAGGATGTTGAAATGCACTTGAGTATTTAAGACATGCATTCTGTATATGTAAGCAGGGAGGGATCAGTAATAGAAAAGTGTGCGAAAGATGTGGTATGGCAGAGAAGGCCATTGGTGAGGTAAAGTGCAGTCGAGGAAGTTAAGGCAAATACTGTACCCCACAACATGGTACTGTACTGTAGTTTGGACACTACAGTTCTATATATGTATGTAGTTTATATTTAGTGCTGTCCAAACTATGTACAGTAGTTTGGATAGTACTATGTTGAAGATGACCTGAAAAGTTTTGAAGGTAAATGTGTGGAAGGGCTTGCATGAAGTGTTGACAATCAGCATCTTGGAAAGAGGAATATTTTATACAAGTCCTCTGACATGCAAGTACAGGTAATTCCTAACTTATGAACAGGTTGTGTTAAAAAAATGTGAAAGGTGTCTTAAGTCAACTGTTGGCGAGGGTGATTTATTAAAAATAATTATATTAAGAGTATGGTTATTATTATTATTCAGTATCTCGTGTCTCACTTTTATGGGTTGATGGAGTCCTGGAAAAGACAGTTACATTGTTTAGGAAAGGCAGATTAATAATATTCAAAGTTACACCCATCCATTCACACTACTGAACAAAATTTACTTGTTTCAGGCCATATTGGAGATGCTACTATTCTAACACAGATGCCATCATATATGTGGTGGACTCAGCTGACAGAGACAGAATAGGCATTTCTAAACAGGAACTTGTTTCTATGTTAGAGGTAAGCAAATTGTAGTACATAAGTGATACAAACAAATGATTATGAAATCAGTGGTTCATGCGTGATCCTGGTTCCATATTAATGAGCCAGTTTTAATCTTGATCTACATGTGCTGTATCATATTCCCACTGATACAACACATCAGTGTGATCACACTGATACATATATCACACAAACAGATTTGTAAATCATAAGTCAAATCTTTGAGAATTTCAACATGTGTTTTCTGTATCCCTGCATATTTCAAATCTAACCTTAGCATTGTGAAACACATATTGAAGCATATCAGGAGTTATGTCCTGCATTTTCAATAAACCTCTGTTACCGATTTCATCCACAAAATCTGCACACCTTGCTACTCAATTTGGATAATCCCCTACATTTAGGACGTGCAGTACCTGAATTTAATGAGCCGTTTTAATCGGTGTTGAATGAAAGATTCAATGTACGTACTGTTGTCTTCGACTGGCTTCCCTAACAGACATTGTTGGTTCATCTTCGAACAACTGTTGTACTCCTTGGATGCTGTCATATTCTGTCCTTGGGTGTCCTCTTCCTGTGTCATCATGTATGGATCTAGTTCTTTTTAAATTAGTTTAAATGTTCACAAATCTCTTTGCTTGTCAGACTGAATCCATGAAATTTCCTTACATAAATATTTCTCTGATCTCATTATAGCATAGTTCTTTGAAACATGATTACACAGCAAAGATGCATTCTTGTGTGCGCGCATTTACCATATTCCCTCGTGCAGGTTTTTTTTATTCGGTCCATTTTTCCTTTACATAATTTTGCTATACCAATACACATTATTCCTGAACAATCTCCAGCTCAATAGATACTACTTTGCTGGCAGGGTAATGATGCAGCCTCCCAGTTGCCAGCTGCAGATTTCTTTCAGGAAAACATTCTCTAATGGCCTCCCCCCCATCATCACACACTGTATTAATAAACAGTTTATTATAAAGACTAACCTCCATAGGAGATAAGGTTCGTAATGGCTCACGTTATAAACACCACTAAACATGAGTTTTAAAAAAATTGGTCTGATTTCATAGAAATGGCTAATTCTGGGACACCCTGTGCTTTACAAGTTATTTACTTAAAACACATTGAAAATAAGATACTTCAGTACAGCATAAAAGATTTAATAATGCTATAGTGCCCAGATCCATTTTAACGTCGTCTGTTCTTATTCCTTTCGTCTGTTGATTAACTGACAATGATTTCAGGAGTTATTTTACACCTGCAGCCTGGCCTGTGGCCAGTCTCTCCTGGTGATTGTTTGGTCTGTGAGGGTTTGTCTTCTTAGCCCAAAAGCTCACATTACCATCACAACCAGGCTGCTCTGATAACTCAAGCAGGAACGTGTTCATGTTTCACCTGAAAGCTTCTACTGTTGTTTCATTGACATTTGTTGACAGATTGAAAAGGCATGGGCCTCCAATATTTACAGTGTTCTGTATTTCTTATGTCATACCAACTTTTCATTTGATCTACAAGTATTTTACACTTGCCTCTCACTCCAATATGTTGTACAGTAATTTTATTATACGGACTTGGAATGTGACCATTCAATATTGCTCTGAATAAATGTTGCTTGTCAATATTCTTTTTGTGTCAAATTCTGAAATTCACAGGCACAAACTGTGAATCATCTGGCAGCCATAAGGGAACTAACCAAAACTCAACTTGGAATGGAATCATGGATGGCAAAATTTCATCATGGCAAATCATTTGGCATTTCAATCGTGGCAAAATTTCAAAGAGTTACAGTATCACGGAACTCATTCAAAAATGTGCCGAAAGGAAGAAGTGCAAGAAAGTGAACTAGATGCATGACACAGGTCATAAAACGAGCATTGATAACCAGGAGGAACCTCTGGAGACGTCCATCATAAATGTATGATGGACGTCATTGAATATGAGATATACAAAAGGGCACTAAAAAAGGGCACCCAGAAAATCTGATCAGCCATAAGAAACTACGAAAGAAAACTTTCCCAAAACATTAAAGAAAGATCCAAAATCGTTCTATGCCTATTTAAGATGTAAAACCAAAACAAAGGACTCTGTATGACCCTTAATGGTTGAGACTAACCAAGTTATAATGGACAGTAAAAGGGTAGCAAACACTCTTAAATGAATATTTTACATCAGTGTTCACACTAGAAAGGTTAGATGACATCCCATCACCCACACAAATGTTTAGAGGAGAGGAGAATATATTCAGGGATATATCCAGGGTTTATAATAATATAAACAGAGGAAGTCCTCGTAATTATTTGATTTATATGTACAGTATTAAGAAATTGTAATTATTTATTTTGGCTTAACAGAAGATGAATCTTCATAGCTATAAAGTAATTTAAATTTAATATATAATAAAGTATATGAGTAGGTGGTAGAATTTCCCCACAAAGTGCATAAAAAGTTCATTCCATATCATTCCATACCATGCGCTTCTACTGAATTTCATATCATGACCTGTGATTTTCATAATTATTTAAGCCGTGCCAAAATTTTCAAATAATTTTCTTTTATCTTTCAGGAAGATGAACTGAAGTCTGCTATATTAGCAGTACTGGCTAATAAACAAGATATGGAGGGTGCCATGACAGTTGCTGAAGTACACTCGGCTTTGGGATTGGATGCCTTGAAGACTCGAACTTTTCAGATATTCAAGACCTCTGCTATTAAAGGTGAAGGCTTAGACCAAGCAATGGACTGGTTAGCTAATGCTCTTGCTACCAGAAAATGAGAGATACTCGAAATATACATAGTGATAGTGTAGTGTATGTATGAGGTTGTCATCTGCCTTCGCTTGCCAGGTACTTGGTCCCGATCCAAGATGTGATGATACTTCAGTCCGTCACTTGATGTTTATCATTTTAAAGGATAAACATTGCGATTTTATTTCAGAGTTGCAAGGGAGATAATGGTGTCTGGCAAGCGAAAGCAACTTGTAATTTTTCAATTTTTATGTGTGCAAATGAATATGTCCAGATTTGATTACGTGTGTGTGTGTGTGTGTGTGCGATTTTATATCTTGAATAAACATTTTATTTCTTTTTATCAAGAGGGTGTATTAAGTACTGTACTATATTGAGATGAGACTTTAGATATTCAGTAGAATATCTTGTATTAAATTGCTAATCTATTGAAGGTTATATAAAATCGCTCAAACTTTGAAATTGTTGTGAATGATGAAGTGGGTTTGAAAACAATGGAAATGTTTTGTATCTTCAAACATTCATATCTTTGAACATGTGAGAAGTTTGTTTTACCATTAAACATAATTAAAAAAGTTTCATGTAACTTTCTTGAATAAAAATACAATAATTATCCTCACTGTAAATGCATAAACAGCTACTTTGGTATTAGTTTCGGTTGTCAGCCTTGGTCACTCGTGTGCATTAAAGTATTCTAATGGCTAGGCAGTGGGAGAGTTGTATTTTGTCTGCTGAAATGATGTAGCAGCAGAGAGAACTTGTGAATGGAGCCTATACTTGAAAACAAAAGTGAGTTGAACTGATAATTGCTATACAAAAATCATTTCCAATTTTTTTTATAAGTAAGGATTTTGGATAGAAATAGTTTACTTGCCTCCACTGACCTTCAGTTCGTATTGTTTAATTTATTTTTATAGCATACTGCATGACTCCACCCGGAATAATGGTAAATGACCCACACATATATTTAAGTACAGTACCAGACACTTGATGCATGAAGTTATCACTGGTTTACTGTGTACAGTGATATCACTTTGGTGAGATGAAGACAGTTGTAAAATCTTTGTGCAGCTTTGTAAATGCACTTAAATGTGCCAGGAGAAAATGGATTTGTAGATTATACAATACAGCCTTCATCTTATAGTTGTGGATAATTGTAAGATATTATTTGTATAGTTATGCACAGTGATCTGCAAATATCTTTTTTCTTTGTGCAATGCAACATCATTTATACAAGAGTCCGCTTACTTTCCGAGCCAGTCTGGACCAAACTTGGCTGAACAACCAAGTTTGGCCGAATAACTGGGTGTACCCTCCTGCCCATGAAAAATATTAATTTTATTTCAAAATTCATCACAGTTCTGTATAGATTTGGCAAATACATGATATCCAAGGGGTAGAAATAATTTCCATAAGGGCCTTGTGAAGGGTCAAGTTTTCTCCACATATGGTCTTGGAATGATGTCTAGGATAGGTAAGGTTTCAACCTGTACAATCTCCTCCAATTTGGACAGATACACCTCTGTACCTTCTACATTTCCTCATTGATATGGACTTGGTGCCTTCTTTTTATAATTACTTACTCACAGATAGCTGGGTCTTCTGAATGAGCCATTGTTATTGGTATGTTACATCTGGTTGTCTGTACCACTGACAAAATGCATCAACATATAATTTTATCCTGGCCAACTGCTTTCTCTTGTGCAGCATATCACTCGCTTTGATCATAAGCAAAGATATTATCTTTAGCTTTTTTAGTTTTGTGAATGAATTGCTTTGCAAATTATTTTCTCAATCTTCCTTTGGACACCAGATTTGCCTTCTCTTATGAACTCTCTGTTCACAAAATTTTAATGTTTCCTCTTGAGTTTGCTACTAGTTGAAGTCTAGGATAACAGATTACCTGCATTTTTGTAAGCCATGGTGGCAGGATGGTTTTTTGTTTGAGAATTATAACTGTGTTGGAGGGAAGATCTTCATTGGCACACTACGAAACCAATAGACTGGTGGCATGCTTGGCTTAGTATCTCTACAATTGACCAGCTGGAAAACAGATGAAGCCTCTTGAAGGCTAGCACTCATTTGGGAGGAGAAAATATTGACTGAAAATATTGTAATAGGACACTTCAAAAGGTGGGAATTCGGAAAGCACAATGGCCTTTGTATACATTGCTATAGTGCATTGGCATTCAAGAACTTTGAATGTTATAATTTTTCTTGTGGGCAAGAACATTTTCAAATTCAACAAAAAAATATGAAAAAAACGTTTAATCCAAAGATAAATATGCTGCAGATAAATCTGTTGTACCTGGCAACACAAATGTCAGATCATTGTATATAAAACATTTGTAATACTTGCACTATAGATTTTTGTTTGGACCATGTATTGTTTCCAAAGTTATTATTTTTTCTCCAAATTTAAGCAAAATAAAGAGAATATATTTAAATCCTATTTGGTAATACTTATTCCTGTCTAAACTGCTACTTTATATATACCCCCCCCCCCTTTCCCTAAAGAGTTTCACCTTGTCATGATGAGGAGGCCCCATCATGTAAATGATGAGTCTCCTCCCTAGGGTTGGAGAAGGTTGCTGTGGCCCTCCCCTCACCTGCTTACCCCCTCTGGGCATTGTACATGCAAAATGGAACAAACACAGCATACCTGTTTTGGTCATTGAACCACGCACTGGCAATCGCTGGTATGGGGCTGCCTTTGGAGATTGGTTGGGTGTCTGGGCTGGGGCAGGAGAGAGAGAGACGTCTTTGCACCAGTGTAGGAGAAAGTATGATGCAGTAAGATTCCCATTAAAAATGGTGAAGCATTGCTTGGGATGATGTCTGTTCCTTCACTGCCCAGTGCTTGGTCTCCCTTGTTTTTCAAAAGCATGGAAGGCCCAAACATTTGAAACCGATGTATAGCAACTTAAATGACTTCTCAAACATAGGCTCGTGGGGCGAGTGACCAGGCCTGTGAGTTGGACTGATAGAAGATTGGACCACATTGGGCTCAGACCTGGCTTCATCTTTGGCTGTGTCAAATGATTTTCTCCATTCCTTCCCCTCCCTCAACTTTGTTGACAGTGTTGAGCCCCAAGTCTCCAGTAGTGACTACCTGAGGTGGCTCCATCTTTAATTGTAATAACTGCACATTTTATCCCCTCTCATTAGTGGTGAATTGTGGAGCCATCCATGCACTCGAACATGCATGATTCCTTCAAGCACTGCTATGTTCCAGGATCTGATTTGTGCCTCTACATGGCATAAGTATTTTGATGTTTATCACAAACGTAAATGTCCTGATGATTTACATGTACATAGGCATCTTGTGGATAACTGTTACTTTTAACCCGACACACAGGCATGCATTGTGGAGGCCTCTTTGGAGGCAGCTGCCTACATAACTGACCATCATGACTGGACATAAGGAGGTGATAGCCGAAGCAATTTGAACCACCCCCCCACCGGCACCCGGATGGATTATGTCTGGTCGTGATGGTCAAGTGGATTAAGGCGTCCTGTACATACCAGTTGCATTGCTCCTGGCAGTATGGGTTCGAGTCACTTCTGGGGTGTGAGTTTTCGGTTATTTATATATAATATATTTATATACATATATATATATATTATATATATATATATATATATATATATATATATATATATATATATATATATATATATATATATATATATATATATATATATATATAAACTGTTTAAAAATTGTTTAAACTTGAGGTGAAAGTAATGTTGAAATATAACACCCACACACGTATGTCAGACCAATCCTGGAGTATGCAGCTCCAGCATGGAGTTAATATCTCTTCAAGCATAAAACTAAATTGGAGAAGGTTCAGAGGTTTGCCACCAGACTAGTGCCCGAACTGAGAGCCATGAGCTACGAGGAGAGACTACAGGAATTAAACCTCACGTCACAGGAAGACAGGAGTGCAAGGGGAAGACATGATCACCACATAAAAGATTCTCAGTGGAATTGATAGGATAAACAGACAATTTATTTAAGACAAGGGGCACACGCACTAGGGGACAGGTTGAAATTGAGTGCCGAAATGAGCCATAAAGACATTAGAAAGAATTTTTTTATTTGTCAGAGTAGTTAATAAATGGAATGAATGCATGAGGAAATGATGTGGTGGAGGCAGACTCCATACAGTTTCAAATGTAGATATGACAGAGCCCAGTAGGCTCAGGAATCTGTACATCAGTTGATTAACGGGTTGAGAGTCGGGACCAAAAAGCCAGAGCTCCACCTCCGCAAGCACAACTAGGTGAGTACACACACACCACTGAATCTCACAACACTGGAAGAAAGAAGAGTTAGTAATCACATGACATGAGACATGCAGCTATGACAGGGAAATCAGGTAAAAATCTCAGAGGAATTGACAAGGTAGATAAAGATAAACTGTTTATCACGGGTGGTACGCGAACAAGGGAATACAGGTAGCAACTGAGTACCCAAATGAGCTACAGGGACGTTAGATTTTTTTTCAGTGTTAGAGTAGTTAACAGATGGAATGCATTAGGCAGTAATGTGGTGGAGGCAGACACCATACACAATTTCAAATGTAGATATGATAGAGCCCACTAGGCTCAAGAATATGTACACTAGTTGATTGACAGCTAAGAAGCGGCACCAAAGAGCCAAAGCTCAACCCCCAACAAGTACAACTAGGCGAGTATAAGCATACACACACACATATATAATTTATTTATTTATTCACATCTATTCCGTCTCCGACAACAATGATTTAAAACGTTAAAAAAATTAATTAGCAAAGAAAATGGATTGTTCGGGCCGTTTTCTAACATGGCAGCTGACAACACCAATGTTGGTCATTGTGTGGTAGGACAGATGTCAGGAGGTGTCGACGCCGCTGTGTGCACACACAATGGTGCTTCCACCACTGCTGAAGAGTGTATCGGGAGACGTAGTTTGCGGGATTGTACTCGGCGGCCAGTCTGGAGAAGGGAAAGTATTGATAATGTTGTTGCATGTGAGGAGGGAAGAGGAAACAGTGGGCTGGCGTCCTCCTGGTCAGCAGAGTGCTGTGGACCCACCGAGTGCAGCCATTAACCTTCAAGAACATGAGGTAAGTTGGAAGAGCCATATCTTGCATAACCCAGGTGACTGGATATACAAATAGGTAAGGTAACAGTGGTTGCCGTCGTCACCACTAAAGTACCCTGATGCCTACTCTGAACATAGACAAAAGGAGGCATCCAGCCTACCATCGTCCCTGCCCATAAGTCAACAACTGTACACAGTCGTAATAATGTAATACACAATTACATATATAATTAGTAGTTAGGAGGACAAACTAGGCTCAGGTGATAGTGTTCTAATGCGGCGGGTATCTTCCCTCTGGGTCAAAGGAAAGCCACCAAACAGTAGGATGCACGGCTAAAATATTTCAAAGAGATAAGCTTGCGAATAAAGATGGCGTCGTGTGTGTGTGTAGCCTCCTCCGGTCACTGGTGTGTGTGAGCATTGTGAGTAACGATGATTAACGATTCATGATGATGGTGTGGTGTAGTGAGTTGTTTAATTTCTGCTCTCAACAAATGAAGTGTGACATGCCTAATCAGCAATTAGTGTTAGTGGTGTGTTTAATACAGCATGAGTGCACAGTTTCTAGAATTGCATTTATATTCTTATACTGTATTGTACTTTATTAGTACATTTTTTGTTTGTTAGAAGAGGCAGAAATGCTGCTTTTCACGATAAGCGAAACTGTATGAAGGTTATAATAAATAAGACGAATCCAAATATTTTCACTATGGCTTATCATTCATGTCAGGTTAGATTACGCGGTTAGGCTCTGTTGGCAATTATTTGCATTTGAAGTACGTGGGAGAAGCATTCACAGAGTTGTGATTCGACCAGAGGACGTCAGATACGTCAGCGAAGCACTCGAAAAATGTTTGAGTGTCATCTGTTGAGCAATGTGTAAAGTGTTTTTATTCATAAACGAGGCTTGGTGGGTGGATTAACCGGTATTTTGCCTTTACTGATGAGGATGGTGTTGTGGTGCACTGATATGGGTGTCCTCGAAGTTAAAACACTTGGTAACGGCAGATGTAGTCTCAAATTGAGACTGATTCGAACATTTCTCGCAGAGAATGTCACAAGAAGATGGTCCATATCCCAATTTCAGGCTGTTGAAGCAGTATCAACTGTATGAAGGTTGAACTTTAGTTCATTTATAACCTATTGTTAGGCAAGCAAATAGTGGGTATAGCCTAGTCAGTAATCTCTACCCGACTTCAATCACAGGACGTTATTTGGCTTACATGTACTAAATACTGCTCACGTCACATGACGATTTACAATAGAAATTTAAGGTAATTGAATTTGGCTTATAAGTCCCTAAAATTATCCAGATTTAACATCTCTCACTATTGCTACATAATAAAAATAAAACGCCAAAAAAATATTTATTACAAATATTAAGTTTGAGATTTATTTTTTATTTGGTGTTGAGCTTATTTAAGGCCTTTCAGCCGCTTGACATTATTCTGTGCCCCACAAGAGCTTGGTTACCAACAAGAGAGCATACTTTAGTCCAAAACATAGGTCAAGAGCCCAAAGAAACCACATTAACGTGATGTATCAATGAGAAAATCAGTAGGAGTCATCAGACAGTCGAACCTGGCGTAGGATTCTGACCCGGGAAGGTGTCCATATGGTGTTCCTGGCTTAGCCGAATGATAGTGGACACGGTCTGGAAGGTTAGAAGCTGTTGCGGAAGGAAGGAGTAGAATTTTAGTTTAGTTTATTTATTATGCACCCCATACCCATCTTGTGGGCGGTATAGTGGAAAGGGTTACAGAGGCACATAATGGGCTCAGGGACTGAACCCTCCACAATTCATTTAGCTAAGCAGATTACAATTTTGATGAGCTAGTTAGAAAATTCAATACACATCGTCACATCAACAATGGGTTTCGAGATCAAGGATAAATGCAGGGAAGAAAAGCCTCGGAACCGGAGAATAAGAGAAAACGTGTCAAAGAAAACGTAAAAGTAGGGAACACTTGAGAAAAATATTCGTAACGCACATCACCGTAGAATATTAGAAAAGTACCCATAAGTAGCCATAGAAAGAGGGACGGAGAAGGCCCGACGAAAAAAACTATTCTCTCAATACGTGGTGTTGATCTCGGCCATTATCATAATCAATACATTATCTCCTGTAACAAGAACAAAATCAGGGCTAATAATTGTAATAGTTTATATAATATAAACAGACGAAAACTACTGATCATATTCATATTACACTTCCATAAATGCTGATTTGCAATATACATGCTACGTAAATACGTTACATGCACTCGTGTGCCTATGTGTTGGATATAATTAATTAAATGTTGTATAGATGGAGTTCATTCACAGGGTTATAACCACCCCCCCCCCCCACGGAGCCGCCGCCCACCCATCGAAGCCGTAAATGCAAAAACTCTATTAAATTTTAAAGTCCAGCTGGAAAAAGATTATCAAGGCAAAAGGTGGGGGGGGGGGGCCTTCGACAACCCGCCGGCTTCCTGTGCTCGTCGAGGCCGCTAGTGTTACTGGCCCTCAGGGAGTTAGTTCATATATTACGCGCCCTATACCCATCTTGTGGGCGGTAGTGGAAAGTTAGAGGATAATGGGCTCAGGGACTGAACCCCAGAATTCATTTAGTTAAGTCTCCCCTCACAGTGTTCAAGAGAGAACTGGATAAGCACCTCCAAAGGATACCTGATCAACCAGGCGGTGACTCATATGTCAGGCTGCGAGCAGCCGCGTCCAACAGCCTGGTTGATCAGTCTAGCAACCAGGAGGCCTGGTCGACGACCGGGCCGCGGGGACGCTAAGCCCCGGAAGCACCTCAAGGTAACCTCAAGGTAGGTAAGGTAAGCAAGTTAGTCTTGATGAGCGAGTTACAAAATTCAATACATCGTCACATCATCAATGGGTTCGAGATCGACCACAAGTACAGTTTCTAAATTAAGCAACTGACATATGTGGAGAGCTAGTGTCACAATTGATATGTTTGTCCTGCACACCGCCCCCCATCCAGTGAGCAGCAGTGGATAGGTTACAATCACTTAGTTACTACCTACAGTAAACTGGGGATATTTGGCTAAGATTTCTGGTAGCAGATCATTTTGGATGAAATATTTACTCATCTCTGGAACATTTGTTACAGAATTGTCTCTGAATTCACGTATCTTGTCGCACTCCATAGTGTATAACAAATCACTGGTAACAGGGGAATTGCCAAAAATTTGGCAATACTTAATGAGATTGATAGTTGAAAAAAGAGAAAATGATCTAAATACCAATAGAACAAGAGAGCATGGGTGGATTCTCGAGAAACAAATGAACCCTAGAGATGCTAGAAAATTGTCTTTTATCATTATTACATAACAATGGGTATAAATTCGATAAGTTTAGATTCAGGAAAACCTGGGTAAATACTGGTTCAGTAACAGGGTTGTTGATTTGTGGAACCAATTACCGCGTACCGTGGTGGAGGTGGGGTCCCTTGATTGTTTCAAACATGGGTTGGACATGTATATGAGTGGGATTGGGTGGTTATAAATAGAAGCTGCCTCGTATGGGCCAATAGGCCTTCTGCAGTTACCTTTGTTCTTATGTTCTTATCTTTACCACCTTTAGGGTCAGGGGGGCCTGACAGCGCTGGGGATTCGTAGTCCTAAGGTTCCGGGTTCGATCCCAGGTGGAGGCGGAAACAAATGGGCAGAGCTTTTATTTCACCCTGATGCTCCTGCTCACCTAGCAGTAAATAGGTACCTGGGAGTTAAACAGCTGCTACGGGCTGCTTCCTGGGGATGTGTAACAAAAAGGAGGCCTGGTCAAGGACCGGGCCGCGGGGGCGCTAAGCTCCGAAATCATGCCAAGATAACCTCAAGATAGCATAAGAATAGTGGGAAAGTGGAATGAACTAAAGGAACAGTTGCTAGGACAAAGCTTTACAATGTCAACAGTAACATCCATGACATCAACTCCAGTCATAAATTTAGAAAAAAATTTGAGAGGAAAATAGGCCGGTAATTATTGCCTTATACCATCAGCGGCTAGAGGTACTGCTCGATCCTGCAGGCACAAATAGGCGAGTACACACACACACACACACACACACACACACACACACACACACACACACACACACACACACACACACACACACACACACACACACACACGACTCTACAACACTCGGCAAGCGCCGGTGGCTATGTGGATAGCACACTGCACACGTAATCCTGTGGCCCTGGTTCGATTCCCGGCGTCGGCGAGAAACAAAGATGGGCAGAGTTTCTTTCACCCTGACGTCCCTGTTACCTAGCAGTAAATAGATACCTGGGAGTTAGACAGCTGTTACAGGCTGCTTCCTGTGTGTGTGTGTGTAAAAGAAAAAGAAATAGTAGTAACAGTTGAGAGGCGGGTCGAAAGAGCGGAGCCCCACCCCCGCAAGCACAACTAGGTGAATGCACAGCACAATCACACACAACACAGCTGTATAGAACAGTTGTCGTTGGCTATCACTCGTCTAGGGGGGGGGGGGTTAAGGAGCCGGGAATGTGACAGAGCTCATGACTCTACTCATGACTCTTTGATAACTTGACATGACACAACATGACAAAACTAGTCAAACAATTTATTTGGTTATTAATGACAAGGTTGTTTTCCTCTATCATTATAACACGTATGAACATAATGAAATTGCAGAAGCCAACTTCATCCTACCGACCCATGTGAGGAAGCTCGTATTTATATCCACCCAAACTTATTCACGCGTGTGTAACCTACGCTTGAAACAATCCAGTGTTCAGTCAAATGATGCACACAAGATACATTGGGATATGTTGTTACCGTTCCCCAGCTGGTGCTCCACACTTTTCTCCAGTTTACCTGGCCGCTAATGGTTTAGTTTACTGCTGCCAGTTTGGTATACCAAGAGTTTTGTGAGTGAAGTTTGAAATTTTGAAAATTAGGAAAGAGTTTGGTTAACCTTCTGAACAATTATTATTTTTTGTAGTAAACTTTGAGTTCCATCTATTTTTCATAATTGTATGATAATTG